GGGAGGTGCTGTGGCATGGGGTGCCGGGAGCATGGCCTTGGGTCTGTGTTTTGAGAGGGGCGCGGTGGGGTCAGCGAAGCCTGGCCGGTGCAGCACGACAGGGACAGCCTGCAGCCTTGGTCCTGAGCACTCTGCTTGAGCGGGGAGCTGGACAAGGTGACCTCCGTGGGCCCCTTCCAACCTCAGCCGTTCTGTGATGGTGTCACGGGAAGAGTTGAAGTGTTTAATAGAGGTGGAAGCCATGCCACAGCGCTGGAAGAAGGGGAGGCTTGGTTTTTAATTCCGTATATTCACTTTCCTCTTGTTTCTTTACCTACCCAGCCTCTTATAGCCAAGCTGAAAGTATCCAGTCGAATTCTGGAAAGGACGCACGTCTCAGTTGCTTTCACGCAGACAAGAGCCTCTCAGCCACGCACCAAGCAAACCACCATCTCCTCCTTCTTCAGCACCCAGACAGGTAACGTGGACAAGCAGGTGCCCCTGTAGGAAAGCCATTTCAGGCCATAATAGGAAATCACCTGGCTTTATTTCTTGGCAGCTTTACTGGGCAGAGGAGTGCATTTTCCAGTGAAGAGGGTAAAGGTTTGGACTTCCAGGAAGGATTTTCTTGTGATGGTCCATCTAAATGCAGGTGCCTTTTACGGTGTTAGACTAAAGTGTAAGTCACAGCCAGGCTTCGCTGGAGAGCAGTCTGAACTCTCAACAACGGACTGGGCTTTACTGCTTACAAAACTGGAGTTTTCAGTGGGACATTGGGAGGCCTGACCTGGCCCAAGTGCTGATACAAACCATCCGGTTCTGGGTTGCTCGATGGTGTCACATGAAGGACAATCGACTTCGGCAGGGTCTGGGCAGCAGCACCGAGCCCGGGAGCGTCCTGTGGGCAGCTCTGCCTGCTTGGGGAAGGGGCAGCATCCGGGGCGTAATGTGCTGGGTTTGTTCTAAACGACGGCAGCCCTAAATTGTCAGTTAAATGCCCTTGGAAGAGACAGCTGGAAGTGAGAATGAACGTTACCTGGTTCAAACAACCTCCCTGTAAGGGGAATCAGGGGGAGGTGAGCGAGGAGAGCTTTTTGTGAAGGGTTGGACAAAGCCTTTTCTAGAGAATGCGGTGTTTAATCCTGACTGAACCAATGAAGGAATCACGAGGGAGCTGGAATATTTGTGAATTAAGCCAGTTCACAACCTTTGTGCTTTTGAGGCTGCTTTTGTGCTTTAGAATACAAGGAACTGGGATTTGTCTGTGGGTCTCTAAATACGGAGAGAAATTAAATGGATGCAGAAACCAGCAGCGCAGCACTGTGTAGTTGTTTGTGTGTTGTGCCGTGGCTACTTCAACCCTGAACTAGTTCAGCAATAAGCAGATGAGAAGAAGCATTGCCCAAACTGTACGATTTAATTGTTTGACAGAATTTTTGTGTTGTGACAGGGCCATTAATGGGGTTTGCTTTGGATTCGTTGTTCCTACTCCTTTGAAAGTGTCGATGCTTTCTCCTTTTTATCGTTTGATGCCCTCGATCGATTGCATTTGCTCAGTCACTGGGTGTGTTTGGATTCACTGAGTGCTGCTGCTGCTTGTCAGAGGTCTGTAGGGTTTGAGACTCCAGAGTATTTATTATTTGTATTTATTTTTTCTTTTAGCTTGTCCTGAAGTGAGGACAAGCTCACTTATATTGAGAAGCTATATTAGATTTTTATATTAAATGGTTTCAGAAGCAAATGTGGGACTTGATGCCTTCATCAGGCGATGAACGCAAGCTGTACAAGTTTCACTGTGGGGTTTTGTTTTTTTTTTTGGTAAGTCTTGAGCTGCTGCTTTTAAAGGGAACGTCAGGGGTGACCTGCCTGGAGAGCCAAGAGGAGGAAGGCAGCAAAGCCCAAGACTGGAGCAGCTGCAGCTCTTGCCTCTCGCCTAGGGGAACCTCGCTGCTTTGAACTACTGGAGCGTTTCAGGCTGCTGTTCCATCACAGTTGATACTGTTACGATGTCCCTGGTGTGGGACAGTCTGTGGTGCTCCTCGAAGGAGCAGTGAAATGGCAGTTCTGAGTCAGCATCGAGGAATGGTGCTGTGGGTAGTGACTAACCTTGAGGAACGTGCGTGCCAGCTCTGGCTTTAACCAATTCCGTGTTGTTTTCAGATGAAAAAGACAAAGAAAACTCCAGGCCACCTCCTTTCACCCCAAATAAGGACTGTAAAGGAAAAGGCATTTCTTTGCCTGCCTGTCCTGTGAAGATCTTGGCTTTGCCACAGATGGAGGAAGCCCAGAACCAGCCCTTCCGAGCCGAGGAGATGGTGCAGGTTACGCCCCGGCGTCGTGCACGGAAGGCACCGGCCTCGCCGGCTCCTCTGCCAGGCTCTGGGTTGTTAGAAGCGGAGTCCCGCAGCGAGAGGGAAGCCTCCTGTGGGGCGGGGGAGAATTGCTGCTGCCTCGACTTCACCCAGGATTCCGAAGGCAACCGGGTCATCGCTCACAGAAAGAAGTCCGATGTATTTGCTGGGGACAGGGTTTCAGCAAGCGGCAGCGTAACTCCGGCCTGCAGGCTAAAGGAACGCGCGGGCCAGCTGCTCCCAGAGGAGGCAGAGCCCGGACTTGATTCCCCACCGAGACTTGGAGCAAACCGGAATAAGAAACCACGCCTGCTGAGTAGTGTGAATTCTTTAACTGATTTCTCTGAGAATATAAATCCTACTAGAAGGCGAGACAGTACCTGTGCTGCTGGCGTTTCCTCATCCCCGCAAAGCCCAGCTAGAGCACGGCCGCTGGCCGAGCGCAGCCAGAACGGTGGTGCCGGTCCGGCCGTGGAGGGCAGGGGCAGCGAGGCGGGGCTGGGCAGTCCCCGCAGGCAGTTGTTCACCCAGGACTCGGAGGGGAACCGAGTGATGGCTCACCGCTGCCAGACCCTCCCATCTGCTCGCAGGCAGCTGCCCAGCTCTGCCTACAGGGGCTGTTCCAGCGATGCTGTGAACAGGAGCTTGGGCAAACGGGGGGAGGAGTGGGCAGACATGTCCTACCATTTACTGTTCACGCAGGATTCGGAAGGGAACAGAGTGATTAAACACTAAGTGACCTGGAACGGGTCACACAGTGACCTTGTGAAGCCTCAGGAAAGCGTATTTTTTGGTAAGAAAGCGGTCAGAATTAGGTAAGTGTACCCAGTGTTTCTAGCTGTATGGTCTAGCCAGCATATGCTATAGACCCATGCAACAGGCTGGACCTCTGTTCTCTGAAATTTTGCTTTAATAAAAATAAAATGTCGAAGGAGTACGTTTATAATGATTGGACTGTTTCAGTCACGCTGACAGCCTGGGTGTTTGTGTAGCTTGCTGCCGTTCAGCCTGACAGCCCGCTGCTAACATGGCTGTATTTCTTAGGATCCTAGAAGTCCAAATTTAACGTTTTTTAGGCTCAGCTCAGGAACCACACCGTCTAGCTGCCCTGAAGGAGTGGGAGGCTCAGGTACGTTCTGCTGCTTTGAGGACAGCGGTTACGCCAGTCAGTACTGGCTTAACTGTGTGTGGCAGATGCCACGGCTCGCTAACAGCTCTGTCCCCTCCGTAGGCAGGTGTATTCCCACACATCCTGATACAGAGCAGCCTCACTGGGACAGGGAGAAGGACAGCCTCCACCCGTGGCTCTTGGCGTGCATCTGAGCGGGGAAGAGCTGCATCAACTCCCTGTAAAACTGATTAAGTCTTAAATGCTCTTTCTGCTCTCGCTCACCGCAGGCCAGAGGCAATACCAGCCTCTTCTCTCGCTTTTGAGGGGGGAGGGGATGATGATGGAATTTTTCAGGAGCTGAGGGCCTGGGGGATGAAGAAAATCCTTGGCAGCTGGGGCCATTCAGCTGCAGCAGCTGAAATTCCCCCCACAACCTCCCCTAGACCCAAGCACCGCTGCTGACACGTCTGGCCTCTGCACATTAATAATGTCACCGACAACCTTTGTCTTATTAAGGCTCCATTTTATATAAAGGAAAAAAATCATATTTAAATACAGCCATGAGGAACATTGCAGAGAATGTGCAGCTGAAGGAAACTCTTCAGTTAGTGAGAACTGTAGCCACAGACAAGGGCAAGTCCCTTCTTCCCTTTTCTCAATGACAGCTCTTGGGGTGGGTGCTAAGAACCGAGCATCAGTGGTTCAATAAATAGACCTTTTGAGTGCTAAATAAAATACATTATCTGAATACACAGACTATTAATGAAACATTAAATTACTGGCAAGAAATTAAGGCCATTCTGTCATGCAACTGTGGGGATAATCTGTGAGTTACGACATACCCAGGGCGCACTAAGACCAGCCACCATCCCTTAGACGCGACTCAGCCCTTTGCTCATCGACTGCGGTTTCCTCCTACCACCGGGTCAGCCAGAGTCACCGGGAAGACGCCTTTTACCGCTGTGATTCACCAACCTCCTGAACACTGAAAGCATTAATGAGCTTATTCTCAGGAGCTCTGTACCACACTCGGAACAGAGAACGGGACGTTTGACATCTGTTTATCCTGGAAATGGCAGCTACAGCGTCACACGGCCGTCGTACGTTAATGCTTAATTTGAACCTAAGGAAAAGTGTAGGTAGAAAGAACGTCATCCAGCAGCACTCGTTGCGCTCTTGAGAAGATCCTTATCCATAATCAACATCAAAATACAGGTGGAAAAGAATTTCCATCATCTTAAAAAGTTTTTCGCTTAAATATAACAATACATGGAAAACACATCAAATCCGTAGGGTCTTTCCTAAGTAAGTGTCCGGTGCAGAAACCATCTCTAAGTAATAAAAGAGGCAAAAGGCTCAATCCTTAGGAAGGCAGCTACTGTGGAGAAAATTTTGGGAGCATAACACTTTTGCTTATGGAGTTTAATGACGGTAACATCATTTCTCCTTCAGGGCCAGATCTTCATCCTTCAGGGCAAATTTTCTTCTCAGAACCTCTGCTATAAGAACAGCCGGGTCTTCCTCCTTCATTGAAGTTCGGTTTCTACACAGAAGACAAAAGCGCAGCGTATTAGTAAAGAGAAGTGACAAAAGTGATGGTTTACTGCTCTGCTTAGAGTCTTTTCAGCATTTTTCTGGAGGACGTGGAAGAAAAACAAAACAACAAAAAGCAGCTAAAAATTCAGTTCTTTCATGTTGGCTTAGAAAACCTGGAGCTCAGTTTGTGGATCAAGGAGTATCCTGAAAAATCAGCATCAAAGCTTTTTATGATGTTTTTATTCAACTGTGTTAATAACAAGCAAATAAACTTCATTAATTATTTACAGCCTACGTCCCCTTGACATAAATCTACAGCTGGTGTGGTGGCTGAGTTGAAATCCTGGAAGTATTTTTTTTTAATGAATTTTGCTACACAATACGCTTTCATATTGAAATATGGGCAATTACAGGTATTTTAAAGGAGGCCGGTACACGTTTCCCTTTGCTTAGCTACTGCACGTGACTTTCTGTAGCATTCTATTATCAAAGCATCCTGCCTCTTTCAACAAGTTCAGACAAGCAGTTCACCTTAGAAGTGTTAATGAGCTTAATTTACAGGAAGCCAAAACCCAGTTCTTTTCCTTCAGGTTTTGTTTAGAACCTGTAATAATAATTTTGCAGCTTAACTTTGTTGTTTTTTTTTTTTTTAAATAGCTGAAGTCCTCCCTTGGTCAGAAAACATTATGGGTGTTTTAACCATTCCTAAAAGAAAAAAATACCCCTGGAGTATTTCCGTATGTGTTTGGGAGGGGCTTGTTCTCAAATAAACACTGCAGGCTTTCAGTAAGCCGTGTAAGATGCCATTGAGCTGCTCACGGGTAACGCTTAGGGCTGTGCCAGCTTTCTGTCTGATCCAACTTCTTCATTTACAGTTGTATAAACGCATCATGGTTTAAAAGATGATTTTGGAGCCCGAAGCGTGCCTTTGCTTTCACCCAGCGAGACCCCTTCTGAAAAGGGTGCAGAAAAAGATCAGAGCACAGGGCTGGAGCCCTCCCCACACCCACCCTTCCCCTGGGCAAAGCCAGGAACTCAGGGTCACGCACGGATCCGTCAGAACTCAAGAGTCACCCACGGATCCGTCAGCTGCCTCTAAAGAGGGAGGGACAGGGGGAACCTGAAGCAGCCAGAGGAGGAGGCAACACCAACAGCAGTGAGGAGAGCCAGCACTGACACGGCCTCGAGCTGCGCTGATCACAAGGGAAGGCTCTCCCAGGATGAGAAGACAGACAACCCACACCAGGCTGAGAGAAGGAACCTCTCCCACCGAAGGCCACAAACGTCCTACAGCGAGGCACAGCCGCCAGCAGACCACAGAGCAGCAGCCGCCAACTTCAGCGTCTCAGCCCTTTATAGTCCCTCAAAGGGCCAAGGACATAATCAGGGAAAAATGAAGTTGTTCAGGCCCGTAACAGTGGTACTTACAAGTCCAAGTGTCCTCACAGTCCAAGCAGCTCCTCACGCTACCTGGCTTTAACCCCACGCTGAGCGCGCAGCCCAGCACTCCCCGCTCCCCTCGCAGAGGGCAGCACAGACACTTTAACAGGCTCTATTTCATTTGGTGAAACATGCACATTTCTGCAAGCGTTTCTCATGCATTCCTGAAGCTTCCAAGGTTGTGTTTAAGCACCAAGTCCTAAACAGGAGCATCAGAGAAGGATCTATGTAGTTATCTCGTTAAGCATCACTGGGTACCTTCATCCACTTAAAGAGTGCACGATCCTTTCCAGTGTCACATGTGCCACCCACCTACGCCAGCAAAACCGCTGCGCGTCACCGAACGGCACGGCCGCAAGGCGAGCACAGCTGTAGGAGCGCGGGGCTGCGCGCAACTGCGTCGACACCAGAGGGTTGTGTCTGGGAATTAAAGCTCATCAAGTAACGAGCATCAGCGATTTAGTTAGTGCAATTTTTCAACTACCTGTGATTCTTCAAACGGCTTTAAGGTGTAATAACCGTATCCTAAAATGTTAGTGTTGGATGTAGGAGGCATGTTAGAGGCTGAGATAGAAAAACAGATGAGAGGAAAACAGTTCAGCTCCAGCAAGAGACAGTCTCAAGCTTTTCTGTGAGTGTTCTAGCCTTGACGCAAGCAGCAGCAGCGAGTGTGACCCAGTCAAGCCGTCGCAAGGGGAGAAGGGTCCTGGTGCCTCAGTTCTCTTGCCCGCTGTACCCCAGTGAGGAGGGACTGGCAGCTATCCCCTTCCCCCCGCAAGGATGCTGCAGTACAAACCCCGCGCTCTTCCCCGTCTTCTACGACGCTAAAAAGAATCAACGCTGTTGGTAAATCCGCTGTGCACGAGCCACCTCTCCCTCCCACGCATTCACACAGCTCCTCTCCCAGGGTAACAGCCAGATCAAACACCTTCATCCATTATTAGTCGTTCTCATACATTCTGTCGAGGAAATTCAAGTCGAATTGTGACCCATTATATTGCAACGCTCCCTGTCACCTACACGCTGCTTTTCACAGCCTCCCCCCATCAGCCCTGGCTCCTCGCGATTCAGGCCGAGCTGGCAGGAGCCTTGTTGGCACATCCAGGCGAGGAGAAGAAAATGCCTCGGATTTCCCTACCATAATCTGCATTTGTATAGGTTTGTTTTTTGTTTTTTTTTTTTCTCCCTGAATAATGCACATTTCCCTGTCTTCATCTGGCACAGATGGTGGCAGTCTTCCTACCCTGAAAAGTTTGCTTCCATAGGAGGCTGGCAGAGCAGTCTGCACTAATTAGAAGACTGATAATTACACGTGAATGCTTAGTCCTAGAGGTACAGGTTTCCGATAAAGTTAAAACGTGACATGTCACAGCATGAAGCACCCACAAGCTTTTCTAGATTGAACAGAGCCACTGCACGGCCATTAGAACAGACAGTTACAGTCCTAACAGGCAAGTTACCTAAAGCCTAACCCCACCCCTGTGGAGTCGAGTAGCACACAACAGCAGGATTTTTTTTGAGAAGTCTCTCTGCCTAATAATTCCAGATGATTTCGGATGCCCAAAGCACTGCTTTGCAACAGACAGGAAGAAAGAAGAGGAGCAATTAATCTACGGTCTGTGAATCCTGCTCATCCCAAGAAAGATTACAGGCATTTACATAAAGCAAGTCAGTGTTGAAGCTTTGAGTAATATTTAACACTTAGGAAAAGAGGAGCAAAGGGGTGTGCTGTGTGAATTACGGATGTGTGATACTGTACGGACATTCTGGATGCGAGCTGAACATATTTCTGTCATTTGACTATATGATTTTTTTCAGTGCTGTAATTTCTTTTGAACTGAAGTAGGCATAGAAATTGCGAACAGCCATCACACAACATGCTACTCTTGGCCAGGAATCTTACTCGCGCACCATAATGGCCGGATAGATCTTTGAGCTGAGAAATGTGGAAACTGCACTTTATGACTGTGATTTCGCACGTAGAGCGAAGGCAGCACAGCCAACGTTCAAGCAGCTCCTTTGTCAGCTGGGCAGGGTCCCGTCTCAGCCGTGCGGCAGCTGGCATGTCAGCAGCTCGAGGCGTTCTCGTGAGCAACGTGTAAACTCGTCACGAGACAAGTGAAAACGCACTCTGCCCACGCTCAGAGCTGGGCCAGATGCTAAAGGCGAGGAGCTGAAAAGCTCCGCGTGTTAATTCCCGTACGTGCCACGCTGGAAGAGCTGCTGAGCTTCCCAACCGCTCGGGTCTGTGAGGTGACCGAAGCACCAGTACCTGGAACCACCGCAGGCGGAGAGGGCAGCGTGGCCCTCGCTCTGACGGTTGCCAACACACACGGTTCTGGTTTTTATCAGGGCAAACACAAGCTTTTTTTTTTCAGGTGAACAAGCTGAAACAGCCAAACATTGTGCTAATCAGTTTAAGTTCCCCTCTGTGGGGGAAGGCAAGCCATCATTAAAAAAAACCCCAGAAACCTAAGTGTTGGCAAGTTCTCCTATAAACAGGTACTTCCCCGCTGCGAATCATGAATACAGAGCAGCACCAAGAGCAGTGAATGCACTGCCCAGTGGCTACAATGATTTGACAGACAAAAAAAGAGAGATAAAATAAAATCAAGAGAGTTCAGAAGCACTTACAAGTCTTTGCTCTGCTTCATCCTATGAATGTCTTTGAGAATGCCCATCATGTCGGCAAAACTGCTGGCCTTTGACAGAGACACAGAATCTTCCTCGTCAGGATCCTTTGGGTCTGGTTTGCAACACTCGGAGGTTGCAGAACAAAGCATGGAGACTGACGGGAGCTCGGGGCTTTCCAGTTCTGCCTCCTCCTCTGTGATATCACTAATGACAAAGGAAGTTGTAGATTGGAAAGAGGGTCCAAAACAAGGTAAAGGGGAAGATGCATTTGAACTTCCTGGAGATAATAAATCTGGCGTTAACGAAGCAGAAGCTGAAAAAGAAAACACAGGTGCATAGATAAACTCATACCAAGCCATGTAGGTATTTTTTTCCCCCGAACAACAGAATATAAATCAGGAGGCATCAGCAGCCAGCCTCCCCCATGCTACCGGGAAACAAACTCATCATATTCTGTTACCCTCCATGTCGGCTCTACTTCCTACGACACCATGCTGCAACACAAGACCTTCTCCAGGACCTCTGATCCCACCTGCCCCCTTACGCAGCTCTATTCCTAGCGTGCCCATCGCCGTATCGCCTCTCTAGTGCAAACACTGCAGAAGTCAGGTCATGTTTACTTTTTCTGGTTTTAAAGATAGGAAATGGAGGAAAGGGATTTAGCTGCTGCTCAGGGTCACAGAGGGAGCCTGTGTCAGAATGTAGGTCTTAATTGTCTTAACTTTTCTCCTCTTCATCGCCTGGAGAACCGCTTGTCTCTCTTTTCCTTTCAGGCGCCTTCCCCCATGGCCGCTCCGCCTGGTGAGAATGCAGAGCTGGCTCAGGAGCTCCAGCATGCTACACTAGCCGGTCACAGCGTTCACCCTGTGACTGCGGGCGCTCTGACCTGTTCTGCTTTCCATCGCCATCTGTAAAATGAGAATAGCGCCCACCTGTTCCACGGGGAAGACGGGATTTATTGTTCACGCTTTAAAATGCAGTGAGGCTAAGAACAGCTACATAAATGCCGAGTGTTATTACATGAAAATGAGGTAGATATTTCCAGTGTAATACACTAAGGGAAATCAACCAAAACCCCAGGAAAATGCTTAGTGCACATCTCCTTGAAAAAACCTTCCTGTATCGAAAACAAACCGTACCTTAAAGCGCTAATGCCCTTGGCCTCCAGAGGAAACCTGTAGATAGTCATCAGTTTCCAATTAAGGGACTTTCCAGCAGTACATAATAGAGCAGATGGCAAAATATTTCTTTTTTGACATCAATCTTTCCAAAAGAAGCCTGCTAAATGTTATCTCCTCCATCAGCTTACCGAGCTACAGCCAGGCCCTAACTCACCGCTCTCCGTTATTGACTTAGAGGACGCGAAGTCAATACGAGCTGTTCTCAAATGCCAGCTGATAACAACCAGGCACGTGGCTGAGCAGAGAGGGAGAGAAAAAGGTATTAAATGATTAAATCATTTTTCTCCCATCTGGATCTCTAATTTTCCTCATTACTACTCTCCTTGAATTAAAATGGACTTCTCTAGCGCACAGCTTGAGTGACGGTAGAGCTGAGACAACACTTGGAAGGAAAAAAAAAAATTTTAAAAAAATCACAGAATATCAGCTCTTCTTTACTCCAGTTCGGTTGTTCCTCTGTCTTGCATGAAGAAGAAAGAGGACACACGCAGCCTCTCTGAAGGGGACATCTGTGATGCCTTGTTTTACACTTACTCCCTGCAGAGCTGAGGGTAACGCGTCTCCCTCACCCCCGCATGGCTTCATTTTACCACGCTGCTGTGAGAGCCAAGGCAAGCGGGCTACAGGACCCCGCGTGCTGCGACAGGACCAAGGATGACAAGAAACACCAGCAGGAGGAGACGGGTACTCTCCAAGCGTGCACAGATCATCAGAAATACCTAATCTCATCTAAATACAACTCTGCATGCTGAAAACATCCCGTTTGTTCTCATGTGGTGTCATCTATTTACACTGTGATACCAAGTAGTTTCTTAAGAGTCCACTGACCATCACAGGGAACTGAAGACGAACCCCAAACCTCTCACGCAGAAACCAGCATTTCAGCTAAAACAAACACAACTGTCTCATGTTCAAATGCCTTTATGGCTCGTGGATAGCTGGACTAAATATAAGCAGTCGTTAAAGCCACAAGTCCCTTGGGGCTACAACAATCAGACAAGCACATCGTCGCTCCTAGATCACGAGACTTGGTTTCGTGCACACACGACACAGCGTGGCGCAAAGTAGCAATCTGGGAATTAAAACAACGTCTTTGGTTTCAGCTGTAGGGTAAGGCAGGTTTCATCAGCCCCTGTTACCCATCATAAACAGGAATTAACCTGCCTGATATCATGTCAAGTGTGGCACAATCCTGGGGTAGTTTTTTGTTTGGTGGTTGTTGGGTTTTTTTAAACTAATGGGAAGAATCAGAGGTCCTTCTTTTCCTCTGGAAAGCAGCCATAATATAGCTGTCGTCTGGGTTATTGGCAGAAGTATTCTGTGTACAAGAAACGCAGCTTTGAAGAAAAGCTGCCTTCAAGAAGGACTAAGTTCCTTTAGTTTGCAAAACTGTTCAATGTTTTGGAGTTGGGTGATCACCAACTCTGCCTTCTGAACCCTCCGTAACTAGATACCAAGGTATTTCTATCTTCCTAGTTTCCACACTCCAAACCAGCCGCTGCTGCAGCCTGGTAGAACCACTGGGATGTGGATCCTACCAAATACCTTCATATTTCCAGAGCTGAATACAGGAAAACCCAGGAAAGGAAGAGCAGTCTTTCCTCACAGCTCTGTTTTGCGGCTAAAACATGGCTTTTAGTTCCAAATTGACTAAAATCAATCAATCACTTCAGCTAGGCTTTTCCCCAAATACCTTATTTGCTACAGAAACGGCACTGTCATTTTCACAGAACGAACAAACACTAACATCTCATTCCTGCCCAAACCGGGACGTAACCCTCTCACTCATGGCTGACTCGGCGCAGGAATGGCAAGAACACACCAAATGTTTTCACGAAACAAGGTGTGCGAGGTGAGAGCCGGCCTCCAGGTCGAATGCAGCAAATGCAGTCACGAAGCAGCACTTGGTATTTCTTAAAAACAAGCAGGAGTCCCCCGACAAAACAGATACAAACGTCTAAACACAGAGCCAGCACTGAGCTGACACCAAAGATGGGATCCCACCAACGGGAGCCACAGCTCTGCTGGAAAAGCAACACGTGGGCCTGCTCCGTACGGAGGAAAGAACACGGTTCACGAATTCAGCCCTGCTCGTTCAACAAAAGAAAAGCTCGTCACATTCCTACCTGACTCCGCAGCAACTATTTTAGCTATCTGACTCCGAAGGTGACTCAGCTCATCCTGGAGCTCTGTTGTTCGGCTCAGGGCTGGTAAACCAGGCTTCTTCAAGGCGAGCAGCTTCTCCTCCTGCTTCCTCAGGTTGGGGACTGAAGCATTTCGCTGTATAACAGTGAAGGGACTCGGCTTCCACTTGTGCTTCAGCGGGCGAGTGTCACTTCTACAGGACAAAAACCTGTTGGTCATTTACAAGGTGCAGACCCCTCCGTGACAACATCACTCAGCAACGCTCTGCCTCCACCCCAGGGCGGCAGAAGGCTCCAACACAACGAGCGAAGCCTTTGTGCCACCACGCTGCGCGTACTGCTGCGGGTACCGCCGTGCAGACGCCCCCTGTGCCACCGAACATGCTCTCTCTGTCACCGCAATCACGCCCCAACGGCACGAGATGTGGCGAGAGGACGCAGGGACAAAAGTCTGGGCGTGCTCACGTGGGTTCAAGTCATTTCTCTCCTGGTAACTGTGTCTCCGGGCCGGGCAGTGCGCTGGGTGCACAGGGGAAATGCCACAGACCCCTTAACTTTGGCCTCTGCTTTCAAAGCCCATTTTCTCTCGCACAAGGTATCTATTACTATTGCCCTGCCTCAGGGACAAAAGTTCAGCTGACCAGAACCAAACTCCTGGGGAGCTCAATCCTGGGAGAACTCAACTCTTCAGCTTTCTGACCAGAACACATCACGGACCAGGGGGGCGACTCTACACAGATCTTTCAGTGAGCAAGCAACGACATGGCACAGGCTTTAGCACTTCCCACAGGAATTCCACCCAAGGTCCTTTGTCCGATGTTGTTTCTTTTCCCCAGAAAATGGGGAAAACTGTCTTTCAACAGGCACCACATCAGCCCCTGAGAGGAGTGGAAGGTGTGATCATTTGATCAATGTCTGACCTACGCCGTGCAAAATAAACCAGGGTGTAAAAATAAGGACCAGCAGACACAAAGAGGAAACCGACCTGACTCTGGCGTATGTTTCTTCCTCATCTGCTGCTATCCACACAATGTCTGCCAGGGTGGGGACTGGAGGGACGTCATTTAAATAGAGCTCCGAAACATTTGGTAGAACCTAAAAAGAAGAAAGTTGCATTAAGCAGACGGCGGTCCTGCCTCCTGAAGCCGCCCCAGATGTGCTGCAGCAGCTGTCGGAGCCTTTCTCCGCTCCAGGTCGGCAGCTGCAGCTGCCAGATGTTGACAGCAACGCCGCTGGGCTCACGGAAACGCGTGCCGACCTCTGCACGTGTCCTCGGGTGCGCTCCCGAGACCGAGCAGCGGGGCAGCGAAGGGATACTCGGTACAGCTCAGCACGCTGCCAAGGCCACGTGCAACACTCCGCTACTACAAGTCCCAGCGCTGCCCTTGAGCTTCAACAGTGACGTAAGCGTTTCCATAAACCTTGTTTTACTGTTTAGGGAACGCAGGCCCAGAGGGCACGTGGCTTGCTGGAGGTCACACAACAAAGCCCTGCTTCAGCAGCTCCATGTTTCTGTCTCTAGCTTAATAACCCGGTCCACAGACGCTATTTTAGGAGGTATTTTCCTCAAGTTGGCAATGATCGCTTGCAAGAATAGAATTTCTAAAAAAAGAAAGGAATTAAAAAAAAAAAAAAAATCTTAAAAAATTAACTATACAGCTACAGGAGTTTTGCGAGCACAACTCTGCAGACACTCGTGGCTGACAGAAGAGCAGCTCGTGACAGCGCCTCGTCTTGCTCGAGAACGGCGGCGCCCTTGCGAGCCCGCTTACCTCGAAGGTTGCTCTGGGGCAGGGCTTTAAAGGGAGGTTTGACCCGATCCTCCTGACAACGCTGCGCGCCGAGCCGTGGGGTTTGTTCTGCCAGATGGGGATCGTCTACAAGAATCCACGTGACATAATTAATAGGTGAAGTCAGTCGCCCTTCTGATATTTATTAAATTGGAAACTGTCCTCTACAATCAAGAGCTCTGATCTCTGACTTTTTATTTGTTCAGTGATAATTTTAATCGGGAACCTGCTAATAACCACGGTCCTCGTTCCATAAAACTGTGTTTCAGCTGAGCATAGGTGAAAGTCAGGCAGTTACTAAGGGGCATTTTAAACACGGGTGTGGCATTGTCAGGACTGAAAACTACCAGCACTCGGTGACAGACACCGAGCTACAAATGAAAACATGCCAAAAGGAGGAAAACAGCATCACGTGAGGGGCCCAGAAGAAAAATGAAATCAGCAGAAAGTCTCATGTAAAGGGACACTCTCACTTCCACATGACCTTTAACACAGGCAGCACCGGGCATGTTTGAGGGCTGAGGCAGTTACAAGCGTATTCAATGCCTATCGCAGCCAAGGGCCCACGAGAACAGCCTTGGGGGGTGTTTTCAGCAGCAGCAAATGTTTTCGTGATCTTTGGACACTGCTACAACGGATTCAGAAGGTGAAGCGCCCCGTCCTTTGACCGTGTTCCCCTCTGCCAGTTTTAGGGCCGTCGCAGGCTCTCGTGACAGGAGGCAGCACAAGACTCTGGACGGTGAATACCACAATGACAAACCGGGATCCAAACGGGTTATTTCGCCCAGTGCACCAACAACTCCATTAACTTATTCGGTGCTGGAGCTTGTTATGCACACGGCGCCTGGACGCCGCTCTCGGGCAGTTACAGTTAAAATTGCTGGTGGGTATTTTAAACTGAATCCCCGAGCGGGGAGCGCCTTGAGTGCTGGGAGGGCCCTCTGG